TGGTGGAGGCACTGCTTGCTGTCACATGACTTTTCACCTGTGTCAGGTTGTTCCTCCCTCACATTCACTTCACACTACAAGTGCTCATACTATCTAATCTTGCCCAGGCTCATTGTCAACTTTTATTCCTTTTCATCTAAATTTTGATTTACAGGGCCAGAGTTTTAATTAAGAAAGACATTATGTTATGACTTCAAAACAATTTTAACATGCTATGAGATTTGCATTTGTTAACACTATCAGGTAGGTTTAGGCTTGTGTTTGGTGTAGGGGGTTTGTTACTTCCAAACACGATGAAGCATTAATCTTTTAGTGACACTCCCTGAACATTCAAAGTCTGAACTGCTGCAATACGTACCTGAACCAAAGTAATAAAAACGCAGCAATACGTGCCTGTACCAGCATAAATAAAAACGTGTCATGGTTGCATATAGACCGCGAGTTTTAGCCCCACTCACTGGACATTTCACTTTGAAACTGCAGCGAAAGTGCAATAAGGTACACAGTATCAGTGTTGCAGAAATGTCGCCACAAGCACGTATGTCCAATGAGCCTGAATTTATCTAATCACATATTTTGCAAAATAAATGTTGTTTTTGTACAGCTGATTGTTTTCTTTTTAGGAGGCACTGCCTTCCTTACCTCTTCAAAGACACGTTCCTGGATCCTGTCAAACAAACATAGTGCTAAGTCTATCCCACATTCTGTCCTAAACTAACACCAACAATCAAAGGAATGTGATAGGCCCCAACCCTAACCTTACCCTATTGATCCATAAACATTTCTTACTTGGCTGTTATTTGATCTTGGAACTAAAAAAATCTGTACTTAAAACAGCTAATGAAAAAATAATCCTTTAGATGGAATCAAATAGCGTCCCATGCCAAAACTAATAAATATGTTTGGCCAGCATCTCAGTTGTGTACCCATCCATGTCACATCAGGGTCATGTCATTTGATGTACGTGTCCATGTGATGTGCCAAGTGTCAACTTGACTCAAGGTTCCTGATGAAGTGCTTTAATAAACTCCGTTAATCCTCTCCTGGGGTTCCAGTAATAAGGATTACATTTCAATGTTGCCTTTAAGGGAGGGATGCTGGCTGGGCATGAAGCTTAGCTTAAATCTAAGCCAATAAACTGAGCGAGAAGCTACAGTGTTTTAATGCAACATAATTGCTATGCTATGAGTTTGGTTGTCTTGCATTAGATGCAGGTGCCTGCTGTAAATTAGTAATAATTTAAGCTGTCATTATGACACATTCATTTAGTTTTCATTATTAAGTTCATTATTAAAACTATAAACGCTTTAAATAATGCTCCTTAACCTGCATATAAATTCCTTCATAAGCCATTAGATAAATCCAACCCTGAAGTACCACCCAAACTTGACAGACACCTGTCTATCAATTCAAAACTTCACTCGTTTCTTATAATACCATACTGTCTTGTAATCTTCATTTTGGGACTTTTTTCAGCAAATATTGTTATATTGTGTCTATATATGTAGTGCAATGTCGTTAATAATCAGGCAGCAATATTGTAGTATCTGGCAGTATCTGGTTGACAGCCCAACACAGTAGGAGGCCACCCATCAGAATACATATAAATGAAGGAAATGCAGTGCATATCTACTATTGTGGCTCCCCAGTGTGGGAGATTTATGGATTCTGTAAAAAGACAGGTGATAGATACCCCATTCTGCGGGAAGCACCAATCAACAGTAGTTGTTTTTGTATGCTTTTGCACAATTATGGCTACAAACTTTCTCTCTTCGCTTCTATACACTAAAAGGGTGTGTTCCACTTCCTTTTTTATGTACTTCCCTCTCTAACTTTGTCTTGTTGACTTGGATGTACGTCATTGCTTTTGTTGCATGAGTGCTTACTACTGGTGAAACCCTTGCAATGGGCTGAATTGGAACGTCCTGAGCCCTTGATCACTTGGAATCTGCTATGGAGCTGATCTATTATTTACATTTTTTCTCTTATGAATTTGCTTGATCCACCATTCTATATGTCTATAGGTATGCTTGGGCTGTTGGAGAAAATGTCAAAAATTTGTACCGATCAGGTTTTTTGTTCCCCCGAACCATGTCATTGAACATTGAGTATCTGTTGAGTCATGTTGCATTGTTATAGATGGATCTGCCTGATATGTACAAATGAGTAGATTCACTCCCTCTATAAAAACGAAGGGTCAAGATCCTGTCCATATAAACTTCCCTCGTCCACTTGACGAAGTGGATCGCACTTCACAATGGTGGTAGGGATTCCCCCAAGGGGAAGGGCTTAGGGACGTTCACAAGTGTGTGTCTAAAAGTGAAGTGGAACGCACCCCTAATCTGAATGTGATTCACTGAACAAAAGAGAAAAAAACTAAAAATATACATAGTTAAAGTTTGAATTTCTATCGATCTCACGATACTGTCATTACTGTGAATTCTTCTGGCGACAATAACTGTGTAGTGAAAATCTGGTATTGTGACAGTCCTACATCATATCATGTATGCAATTAATGCAATTTGATTAAAATGCCAATCAATTTACATAATGTCCTTGGTTACATGTCCTGGAGTTTGAGAGATATGCTAAAACTGCTCTTTGTATTGTCTTTTACTGAACTGAGAAGCTCCTTGGCAACTTAAAGGAAATGACCTTTAAATCGCAGTGAAACAAATCCAGGCGGAAGCTGCTATGAAGGACACATAGGGATGGGAGGGGGGACTCAATGAGCTCTCTGAGCTAACGCTGTGTCTCATCTAATTAGGGATGCATTTTGCAGGAAAAACCATTGTGAACCCAACCGCAGGATGCTAGCGGGCTTTAATGGGACCCGAAATGCCAGTGTCACCGCCTCAAGCTTGTGCTCCGCCATGAGACGCTTTGACTCATCACAGATATTCCTCAATAGAAAGCACTTGAGTTTAATTGATTGCTCAATCCGTCTGAGATGAGCGATGGCAAATTATGATTTCCTTGCTAGTAAATGAATGGTTGAATAGGACATGGTGCAGAAAGGCGAATGGTGGAACACCAAAACGACAGCACAGATGTTGTGACTGCCACAGAGGAGTTGACTGCATTGCCATATATAAAGTACAGGAAGAGCAGAATCATTGGCTAGGTGTCTTCTGGGACAAACGGAGATTGTGACCTCTTCATGATTAGTAAACACAAACCATGGCCCAAGAACAGGTGCGCTCGGGGGAGGGGGTGATGAGGCATCGGCACTGCTATGGCCCTGAATTTTAATTTGGTAACAAAGACATTTTAGGATCCTATTGTTTTACTGCCACTCCTAATATTGTCCGTGTACTTATATGAAATTCAAATGATGTCATTATTTACTCACCCTAATGCTGTTCTAAACCCATATGGATTTTTTTCTTCTTCAGTGCAATAAAAAAGGAGACTTTTGGCGGGATATTCACACTGCTTTACTTTATACAATTAAAGTGAATAGGTGACAGGTGCTGTCAAACCTCAAAAATGACAATAAAATCACAGTAAAGCACTATAATAGTAGTCCACGTGACTCTAACCAGACATGACGTAGCACCTATAACACAAGATTTGTTAATCAATTTTTTTAATTTTTGGTTGCACCTCCTTTTCTGTTGGTAGAGCACCTCTTTTTGCAGCAATTTTAGAGTTTTTGTCATGACCAGTCATGCCAGCGATACGCGACGAGCAAAGATTACATTTTCTGAAATGAAATTCTATTTCAGCGATGTTGTGGCTGACAGGTCAGGGATTGATTGTTGTGTGTAATATTAAAATAGTTTAATTTGAGTTTGTATATAATTGTGCATGCGTTTGATTATCTACGATGGATGATTTGCCTCAGATCTTGAAAACAGCTTTGAATGGCATTTAAACAAACAATATATTTCATGAAAAAGACTGTATCAGTCAATGAAAATGTATTTTGAATAATGTTTTTTTTTTCAATTGGATCAAGTACGTCCATTTCAATGTGAGTGCAAGACAGCAGTGCGCTTGCAGAGAGAGCCCGCCCACACGTTCTTCTGATTGGCTGTCATTTATGATTTGCTGGAATCTTATCACATTGCATCTGGTCAGACAGTAGGCGTGTTCGACTTCGACTTGCAGTCATTAGTCACTGATAATCTTGCTGTATCTCTCAAATCTCAGTTGTATTTCAAAATTGGTACAACATGAATTATTTATTTATTTATTATTATTTTTATGAATAATCTATTTGTTTTTGACTGTTCCTCACATAAACCTATTGTATGGCTTCAGAAAACTTGTGCTATACAGGGTGCAAGTTGTATTGACTATCTTTATGGTGGATTTCTTTTATTTAATTTTTTTTTCTTTTCTTTTCTTTCGAACTTGACCAACACAATCTAATGGCAATCTGAAACTATTTTATGTTTTGCTGAATTCATACAAATCTTGTCTACTCACACCCCAGTGATGGCTATGTTTAGGAGTGGGGATAGGGGTGCACCTTCCTGCTTTCTTTTTTCTAAAAGAAGCATGAATTTTGTACAATTCACATTGTATGAATTTATACGAAATTGCCAACTTGTAATATCCTCCGAGACAGAGCTGTGAACCTTCTTCAGAACATGTCCCTTTTATGTCTTCCATGAAGGAAACATGGACTTTTATGAACTGTTTGAAATCAATAACCCTATGCAAGTCTAATGCAGATAAACTGTATTAGGAAAGTAAGGTGAGCTATTTAATAAGTAAAGTATTTTAGGGCCCCAAATTCGTCTATGCCGCTCAGAACTGGGCCACATCAGTTCTAAATTCATCATGTATCCTGAGATATCTGGACCTTTGCACCAGTACTGCAGGCGCTCTATCCAGACCCCAAGGACTCAAATGGGGCATCCATCGTCCATCATGCCCTGCTCCTTATGTGCTATAAAGCCAGCAAAAACAATTCAAATCAGCACTAACTGTTTATCTCATCTAGGCCGACCATTTCGCTTGGTGTTCCACAGGTAACTAAGAGGACTTACCTCTGTCTGTGTCATAGAGGTAGACAAACTTGTTCCACTTGTAGTGAGACAGGAGACTCAGGACGGCGCCCTTCAATGGAGGGCGAATCTGGATGACAAACTGCACGTCGGAGTCGATGGGGTAGCTGGGAGTGACGAAGGAGGTGTGGAGGGCCCCACAGAAGGAGGTCAGCGTGTTCATGGACTTCTTGTCATAGAAGCCGAAGATGGCATACACCCCTCTGGAGAACTGTGAACAAACTGGAATCAGAGCAAGATAAGTTTGCTTAGTTTGTTTATGACACAGTAAACAGTAAAAAGTGTCGAAAAACGCATAACGCATAATTCTTAACCAATCCTACCAAATGGAATCCAATGATGTTGGCAAGTGAATAATTGCCATAATAGGAAAATCTCTACAAACATGCTAATTTGTTTTGACTCCATGAATATGAGCGGAGAAATAATTGCATTTTTTTTTCCAGCAGATGGACGTGCTGCAATTCGTGTGACAGTTAGAACCCATCAACACACTCTTGTCTTAAACAAAATACAAAACTTCATGTCTGACTGGTTGTTCCTTATTCTCCCAAAACACTTGAAGCAAATGAAGCATAATTATGCACATCTCAATGAATCGATAACATCCAATTACTGACACAGAAATGTAACGGTTTGCAGAGAACCTCTCGTCTGAGTTATTTACAATATTTAGCCGGGGGCAACAACACGGTTAATTTAGTATATTTTAACTCTTAAAATATATTTTAAAAAATGCTGATTGCAACAAACGTTTTAGAATTTTACAAATAAATCATGGAATCTTGTGGCTAAATTAACAGAATGTGAGAAGAGGCATCCAAACTGGTTGACCAGCAATATTGATTTTTTTTATCCCAGCAAGTTCATAATTCACAACCGGCTGATGAAATTCTGTGAAAAATGCCTAGTAACCACATGTAGACACAAGTGGACTCCTACAAAACATTAGGCTAACACCTCTGCACTGCTTACTTCAACAATGGTGTGACTGGTAATTTTGTAAAATTACCTCTAAAATGTAAATTTAAAAAAATCTAAATATAGGTGTTTTAAACAGTTTCAGCCCTTTGGCTGACTCCCACCAGACTCAACCTCTGAATTAGACAGCTCATCCCTTCAACCACAACCTTTCTCTAAAGTCCCGCCCTTCATAGACAACCCGAATGTGCAAAATTATTCACAGGCAGAGACCGTTTCTCACCCCGGACCGCGATTGTGCCCTTGTAACGCCACTAATCCCCTGCTCCTCTAGAGGTCTGTGGACGCCAAAAGATCAGTCAGTTTATTGGTATCGGATTTCATATCCTCCAACAAATGTAACATAAAAACAAAGCATGGTCTCTTACTGTCTGCATCAAAGGTGCTTGATTAGAACAAACTACTAAGTGAACCAGATTCTATGCTAGTAATCAAAAGTCTAATCAGGCTAGTGAGTCCTTGTCTTCTCTATTGCTCAAAAGCTGGTCATCCATACAGCTGCATTACTCTGGCACATATGTGCGAAAACTGGCCTGCAGAGGAGTCACGATTATACTGTGTAGAGGCTAGTTATGCTGTCCGTCTCCTCACCGGCTCTGTTGGTCTTCAACATTTCCAACAGTTTACTCTTAATTTGGTCCAGTTCTGACACAGCCTTTCTCCTGAGGGAGAGGAGCTGGCTGCTTCCCTTCCATCAGTTGTCCTGGACTTATTAGGACAGGCTTTGAACAAACTCAAACCAAATACATAAATTATGTCAGATGCCTCTGTCAGCTCACAACTCCAACTAAAGCCTGTTTGTGTTGGCCTGTCTACCCCAACAATCTGGATGTTTCCCTAAGCTTACTTGTTTGAGGCCTGGCACCTTTCTCTTCCTGAATATCTCTCTTCTCAAACCATAACTCTCAGTATAGCTTGGTCTACAGGCTAAGTTTGGGTTTTCCAAAACACTAAGTGCACACAAATAGTGTTTAATGTTTTCCCAAAAGCATCATTATCTAAGTATTACAAAAATTGCACTACTTCATTTAGCAGCCTTGAACTACTCTTAAGACCATTAATTGCCATTTAATTGGTGAAAAAGGACAACATAATCAGTTGGACGATATTGAACAATATGTTTTCGAAAAAGGACATCATTAATGCAACTAGTTTAGTGCAAGACAACTCTACGCTATAAATAAAGAATAAAAAACTGTTTCACATGCATGACTTTACTTTGCAAACAATTGGTTATGACTATAAATCTTAAGAAACATGAGACCCTGCAATATTACATATATGATGTATTTATGAACTTTTTGAAACTTCAAAGTTTTGGGTGAATGAACTTTCAATTGATGACAGACATTTCTTGGGTTTTATTAAAAGTCTTAATTTGTGTTTTGTAATTGAGCATATGTCTTATGGGTTTGGAACAACATGAGGTTGAGTAATTTTATTTTTAAGTGAACTAACTCTTTAATATTATCCAAAGAGCATGGTTTGCAACATTAATGGGACACCTGGCATGAGTGAATACCTCCAGGGCCCTTCTTGAACATTTCTGAACAATTTCTTTTATCAGTGTGAAGTACAGTGTTTGTACTCTGGTGTTGCTTCATTCCTTAAAGTAATTCCATGAGATTGAGACAAATCTCAGTGCTTGGAATCACTATGAGCCCTGTTTTGAAGCGCAAGCATTGCCTCATTGCTTTTCATTACACAGAGAGTCTAAGCATGTCACGTTACATTTTGATAACATGTTTACTCTGGTGGGAGCGGTGCATGCAGCTGTGCACATTGCAGCTCAGGGAACAGTGCTAAGCAATGTTAACGGCTCTCTGAATGGCTGAAAGATCCTTCCTCAGCCCCTCCATCTTAACCTTCTCGCCCCCGAGCAACTAGCGATCTCATTACAGGCTACTCGTCAAAACACGCCGCGCCTTCATTCTGCTAATCAGGACATTCTCTGCACTGCAGCAGGAACGATGCATTTCCACATGCCTGACTGCTCCAAATGACTGTGAGGCCACTGGTGTTGAAATGATAAGGACCATTAGAAAAGACTCCGTCCCAAAGGCTGCATTTGGGACTGAAATAATGTAATCGCAGTGTCATGCACTTGAAGCCATCTTTCACCACCATGATTGTACATGGCCCAGAGACCTAAAGCGCATCGTGGCAAATGTCAGAGTCGATCATCCAGCTTTCGGTATTCACTGTCCTCTTCTGTTCTTATTCCTCTCTCTCTCTTCTCGTTCTACCGCTTCTGTCTTTCCACCCACCCCTACAAACACCTCACCCCCAAACACAACACTCTCACAGGAAGATAGTTCTCTGGGGGTTTGAGCAAGTAATTGTATCTGCTCTTGTGAGGAGACATGTGAAGTCCTTCAAACTGTTTATTAAAAATGCCAGCTGAAAACAAGAATCCCTGTCCTCCTAATGAAGCATGCTATCGGGATGTGTCTTTGAAAGACAAATGGTTTCAGGTTATTCATCCTCTTGCATGCACACACATACATTTTACACTGCATTTATTGCACTGACCGCAAAACTAATGTTCACATTTCATAATGTATATTTTTCCATTTGGCTGTTGATAGTAACACACTGGCTCATTACAACAGATGTATAGCATTTGCAATGCATTGCCTTTGCACTGCATTTTGTACATAGGCAGCATTCCAAGCAAAATGGATCCAAATACTTGACTTATTCTGAATGTCTACACAGGCAGAAACTCTGAGACATAATTTACATTTAACTGTTAACACCAACCTCCTCAGGATTGTGCCTGGTTGCTTAACAGTGCTGTCTAGTAAGTCACTCACTAAGGTTTAGAATAGAGTCATTGTGTCTTTCTCTCCTGTCCAAGGGTCATGACTCACCGCACCAATTCCAACCCCCCATACACACACACACACACACACACACACACACACACACACACACACACAATGCACCATAAGTCTTCTCTAGACCCTTCAACCTCAAGGGACATCAGCAGTCGGTGTAGTCCATGACTAATCAGCTAGTCAATATCATGGTTATGTGTCCTGATCTTTGTAGAGCATCACAGACTGAAAATGTTAACGGGCAACATAATATTAAAAGAATCACATTCAAATTTTGATAATCCCAAGCAATGATTGTGTACAGGAAACACAAAGGGTACTGTTCTTATATAAATAATCTCTGTTGGAAAGTCCCAAATGCAATGTGTGTGGTAACACTTTATAATAATTTTCATTGATAAATCATTAACAAACATTATATAATGCTTAATAGATAATTAGTTAATATATATTCAAAGAGTTTGAAACGTGTGACAATGTGCGTGTTAATGTTTGCTAATAAACGTATAAGATATTAGATAACGTTCAAACAGATCATTATTTCATGTAAGTTAAAATACTTACAAATGTCATTAAACGTTCAATTCCATATGACCAAGCACTTATTATGATTTTAACAGATGTTATAAAATGATTAAAAGCTTGTGTTAATGTACAACACATTAGCTGCTATTGAGGTGTGATACAAGTAAGGTTAGAGACAGGTTTGGTGGTTTGAGGTAGGTTTAAGGGATGGTTAAAGGTTAAACCTGGTTCAACCTGTTTATTTTACATCGTTTAGATAAATATATGTGAGTATTTTCTTTAAAAAAGTTATTTGTTTTCCCCTGTTTATTTATGATTCAAGGAATATCCTGTTTAATGATATACTGAAGAGTAGTACACCAATGTGAGCGTTGAGGTGATAAAAAACATTTTTTGCACCAAAATTACGATCTGTTATGTCTTTAGCAAGAATTTAGCTAAACTTAACCCGCCACCCTTTACACAAACCTTATTACATTAGCTAAAAGACCAATGCCCAGAAAGATAATAAATGATTAGTAATCATTTATAAACATTTACAGATGATGAATAGTTTCATCTTTAGCTTGGCTACTGCAAAAACATGAACAAATGATTAATAAATGATTAGTAAAGATGTGTGAATAGGGTAAATTCAGGTCTTTTGGGACACGTTTTGCCATTGAGATGACTGCTCATAAAGGTATTACTGATTAGTAATCATTTATACACATTTACAGATGATGAATAGTGTGACGAGTGGGGGCGGGGCCGAGAGCCGTGGGAACGGAGCGAGGCCGGTGGAGTAATTGATAATGAGCGACACCTGCTCCACTCACCGGTCTCGAGTCCCACGGAGGAGCGCCGGAAGAATAAAAGGAGGAGCGACGACAGTAA